AAAAAATCAGCGCTTTGATGTTTGTGCATCACTTCTTTGTCGAAACAAAAATGACCCATTTCTGGCCAGAATTGTTACATGTGACGAAAAGTGGATTCTCTACGATAACACTAGACGTTCTGGACAGTGGCTCGACAAAGGAGAAGCTCCAATACATTTTCCAAAGCCCCCAACTCATCAAAAAAAGGTAATGGTTACGGTATGGTGGGCTTCATTTGGTTTAATACCATCACAGAGTCCAGGGTGCTAGCCCAAAACAGAGCCCCGCCACACCGGCAGATGGATGGTTAGGGTAAATTTTATGTACAACAATCAATATAGATTAGACATATAGGTTGAGGGGTTCTTTCCAGGAAGAAAATATGGGTGAGCCGGAAGTGGCCTATTTGAAGCCGGGTAAAGAGGGTTTCTTCTTTTCGGGAAGGTCTTTCTTTAATTCGTATTCATATTTTATTAAAAACCATTACAAACGTTTATGATGTCTACGAAGGCTATTTAAATTACATCGTCAAAATTCAACTAACCCTATATAAGACATTCCTGCGACCACTCCCAACACAAAATGTAATATTCTGCCCAGTTAATATCAAGCGCGTCCTACCCTTGCAATCAAAAGTCATTAGACAAATTTCAAACTTACTTACCAACCTAAACTATCTTCAACAACTTAGATTCCTTTTATGGACTGAACCGATCCCGCTTCCAAAAGTCTCACACCCTCTCATTCAACCTAACCCTACTACCTAATATCTGTATGCTTTTTTTTCTTGTGCGGCTGCACATATCTACAGTTTCCCATCCATTTTAATTTTAATTGTAAGTAATTTTTATTTTGCCATATACTTTATATTAAAAAAAATCGCAAAAGCAATTTTACTGAATTTACATGCTTATATTTTATATCATCTGCTAAGTAATTTTAAGGCTTTAAAGTAAGTATTAATTTGGAATTAAAACTGGTTAGGATTAAATTAAAAAAGGTAATTTGAATTTAAAAAACGTTAATTTGAATTTAAAAAACGTTAATTTGAAATTAAAAATGATTAATTTGAGGTTAAAAGGTTAAGGTGCAAATTAAAAAGGTTAATTTCAAACTAAATAGGTCAAATTTATCGAAAAAACTATAAATCCATAATCTGAACACTACCACAACGCCTATAAATAATATTTCATTTTATTAACATTTTTATGCACCGATTTTGGTGCTCCTGGACCCAAAAAAAAATTTACTACCTGAAGAAGACCGAGAGTGAGCACGAGCCGACATCGTGTGTTAAAATGATGGATAAAATCAAATAGTATTTATAAAGTGCTGTGTTTGTTCTTCTTCTACAGCAAAAATGCTGAAGAAACTAATAAATTATTTTTTTAAAGCCTACAACCAGTAAAAAATGACTTTTTAGCCATACTAAAACAATATTTTTATAAACCATTATCACCATTTAAGACTCAAGTGAACATGGTTTATTGTGGTTTGATTACTGATACAAACGTCCAACTGAAAATTTTATCCCACTTATACAGAATCGGAAATATCTGGAAAGTTTTCAGTTAAATAAATGTGCTAACCTGCCTTGAAATTTTTGAATTTTGCAATGCATAAAAATAGTAACCAATGGCTAAAACAATTTTACTATTAAATCTTCTAATATATGAATCCTCTATCAAATAGAAAAAAAATTTTAACGAAAAAAATGCCGAAATAATAAATACGTAAAAACGTGAAATATTGCTTTGTAAATCTCACCCAAATTTGCCCACATTTTTCGATAAGAACGGAACACCTTGGTGGTACAACTTTTCGTTGCGTCTTGAGAATCTATCTCAAAATGCCTTATATCCTTTCTAATGTGGATATAGGGTGTTTAATTATTGAGAAAAAGTTAGCCGTTTATTCGCCTTTCGGGCCCATTGGACGTCGTGTCAGTGCTCTAACCGCTGCCGACACTAGTCCGTAAATTTAAGAAATGATAGTCATGATAATTTCATCAATTCTTCTTCTAAAGTTCATTGTATGTGTAATTGTTAATCTGGAAAATAAAATTGGCGCCGTTTGGTTTGAAGAAACGTTATTGAAATAAAAGCCACGGACGTTTCAAGAAATTCATATTTCGTATGTCTCTTCGGCAGTTTGTTGAAAAGGCCCATTTTATCCAGGCACATTTTGCACAACGGAGCCCAATGAATACATCCAGGAGCCTTTCAGAGGCTTCTGGTCTGAGAAATGCCACCATTACCACAAAATTCCAATTGCGAAGCGCAGTTAAAGGGTTGTCCCGGATTTACGGGGCGGTTGGAGTATAAGGACGAAGGGATGACGGGCGGTGGAGGCAGGTGGCCGTATCATTCAAAACACGTACCGGTGTCAATCCCTCCCCCGACCGGTCTTATCGGCCTCTCGAGATTTAGAAGGCGTTATCCTTTTTTATTCCCGTCGCGTTCCTAGGCCTTCATCCCATCCCTTCTTACCAACAAGGAATAGTTCCCCCTTTTATAAACATAGGGCCTATCGTCAACTTAAGTTTGTGGGGTTCTCTAAGAGAAATTCGATTGGGATTTAAAAGGAAACCGAGATCGTATTCTCTACCTACTTGCGTTCGATTATTTTGAATTTGGGAACTTTGGGCGACCAGAGGTAGTTGAGCCAGATTCAATTTAAACACTTCTCTTAACTTTAGCCATTTTTTTTTACTAAATATATTAAGCATTATTAAACAATAAGGATATTTAATTAGTAAATTTACATTTTTAAAATTGGTAAAAGGGGGCGCAACGGTTAAATCGATAACAACGAGCTCATCACTGGAAGTAAAGGTCCTGGGTTCGAATCCAGCGTTTTGCATTCGAACCAGACATCCTTAGAAATGGGCCTTTTCCACTAACACCGGCACTCATAGCTGACCCTCGTAAAAAATAAATTTAACAAATTATAAATGAGTTTTTTCCTAACTGAGTAACAAAATTTATTAGGTATGATTTAGCAAAACTGAATATTCCTTCTGACTCACATAAAGAATCGAAGTATATGGGTTTTGAAGTCTTTTCTCCACACTATTTTCGTTTATATTTTTCTCGAACAGTTTAAATACACGCAATTCGCTGAGATAATTTATTCTTTTGAAAGGAAAATCCTGAAACTCGTTATGAAAACTTTTCCAATCGAGTGACTTGGATTCGGGATGTGAATCGAATAAATTACCCCTTTTCATCCGTCGTCAATGGCACAGAGGCAGTCCTACCATTGGCCGGTTAACGAGACTGCGTTTCAATACCCTAAAAATATAGCAGTCTACAAGCATGTCCAGGAAAAGAAAGATGAAAACATGCATTCTAAATACGTTTTTTACTTTTTCACTACATGCTCAAGCAAATAAAGCAAACATACTTTATACTTATGTAATTTAGGCATACAACATGCATATATACAGGGTGAATTGCTACTCGTGCTACAAACTTCTCCAGTAGATTCTTCACCCTAAAATGAACAAAAAAGTTCATATTGTCCATGGTCCGANTGTATGTATGTATATGTGTGTGTGTGTGTGTGTGTGTGTGTGTGTGTGTGTGTGTGTGTGTGTGTGTGTGTGTGTGTGTGTGTGTGTGTGTGTGTGCAAAGCATAAATATACGAAAACCTGTGAACAAAAAAAAACTGTCATCTTTAAAAAAATATGTGCTAAAAACAACTTCTAATTCTTAAAAAAGTCATTACATGGCATTACAGTAAACCAATGATCCAAGAAGATGTGAAATAAAATTTCAAGCTGTAGAGTTCAGTCCCTAACAAAAAATGTTATTATATGCCTTCTGTTCAATATAACCGGGCCCAAGTTTCTTGTTAATTATTTTTTTAACTTCATTACTTATCTTAAACTGTATAATTATTATAAACAACCAGAAGATTGGATCTCTGTTTTTAGGTTTAGTAGATAAGATGTTGTGTTGTGACTTTGTTGGTTAAACTTTAGTTTCCAAAGATTTCGGAAGTATAGAAGAGCGGTTACTTGTTAATATGGTGGAGCTGGTTCCCTGAGGCAAATATGCAAGCATTTCC